CTGTAGCGCCGTTGTTACAGTCACAGCAACAAACACTTTCCTTCCCTCTGTGAGTGGGAGGGGAAAAAGGTTTTCTCCACTTTTGAGTAGGTACCAAGCTGTAAACAGCAGTTTGTATCGACTTGACTGAAAAACAGAACTTATCGTAACGCTGTGCAGGCATTTCAACCACGCACTCCCTGACTATGCTTGTGTTTGAGCGTAATAAATAACAGCAACTCCTAAAAACCATGCCCAACCCTCAACTGGGCCTTTTCCTGTTGTATATTAGGCCACAGAACTGCCAGGCACTCTCAGACCTGACCCCGCAGAGCTGCCGCACACCTTGGTCACACAACTGGTGTTCTCCTCCTTCAGCAGCAGAAGGGAAATGAAGTGGTCTGCAAGGCACTGACGGAGCAGAGCGAAAGCTCGCGAGCAGCCTGAGCTTACACACGCCGTGTGCCCATCGTCCCCGCAGCAAGATGCTCCAGAACGAGCTGGTGTATGGCTCCGTTACAACAGCGCAGTCTGCCCCACGCAGCACGTGAGGTAACTGGTAAAAAGCTTAGGAAGAAACAAGGGGAGAAATAACTGCAGTGCCACCCGCCCGCTCAGCGCGTACATGGGCTTATGTCCTCACGGCAACATCACCATTCAAAGAATCACGGAATGGTTTGGGTTGAAGGGACCTTAAAGCTCCTCCAGCTCCAACCCCTGCCACGGGCAGGGACATCTTCCACTAGAGCAGGTTGCTCCAAGCCCCTGTGTCCAACCTGGCCTTGAACACTGCCAGGGATGGGGCAGCCACAGCTTCTCTGGGCACCCTGTGCCAGCGCCTCACCTTTTGCCCCTCCTCACTATTGATAATGCTCTGTGTTGATTTAGCTTGGAAGAGGAATGAATTCAGCCAAGACTGAACTACGATGCTCAAAGAGCCTGAGCACACCTCGCAGCTTCCCCCTCCCCTAGCAATGCAATACTATACACTACACATTTTGCTCAGGTAACTGAAATAACAGACAGATGCTCAAGTGAAGAATTCAATGTATATTTATTATTCACAGTTAATTACTATCTACCAAATGCTGCTGCAGAGTTAAAGGATTAAGTACATAGGCCTTTTTTTTTTATTTTATTTAAACACTGATTTTTTTTTCTTTTAATATATATACACACACAAGACATATGTCTGCAAGGCTGCATGATATACACCAATTCCAAAATAAGGAAACAATCAAATGGTCCAGGTGTAGAATGCCATAGATTCCTTTTCCAATCACTTTACAAAGAAGGAAGAAAGTGAGTGACAGCTAGCAAGGAGAAGGGGGGAGAAAGTAATAACTCTACAGGATAGCTCTCTCTTTCGTCTGCTGGAAAATTAAAAGTGTAAGGCAGAGTCCATGTCAGGAAGAAAACACTTGTAACACTTAGTACAAAAAAAGGCACCCTCCAACTAAAGATTGCCTGTGCTCAGGCAGGGCGGGAGGAGATCTCCGCTGCAGGGTTTGGATTCGTTGGTGGGGTGAAGGGATCCAGCCGAAAGGCCATCAAAAGGAAAAGTAATGCAACTGAAGATTGGCACAGAGAGCAGTGAGGCTCTGCTGCTTTCCTTTCCGGCCAATTTAATATCCCACTGCTCTGGTGGAGGAGCAAATGGCCACAGAAAAAGCCATTCCGGTGCGGGGTGGGGATTACAGTCATCACACAGCCTGCTGTGAATGGGGAGCGGGGTGGGGGGATCTACTTCAACAGTAACACTGACCTGAGGAGGGAGGAGAAACTGGAGAACAGTGATGCCAACCCCAGGTTTCAAGAGCAACACAACTGCAAATATTCCCTATCCAGGCCAAAGAGACAGGCTGATTACATGCATCACGTAGAGACATTCACTAAGAGCATAAAGGTTTGGTTTTTTTTTCAAGCACTATTTCTTGAGGTTTCTCTGCATTATAAAGTTTTCCATCAAAGGAATGTACATTTTGTAGGACATCTCAGGGCTATTATTCCTCAAATTCCCCTCCCCTTAACCCTCCCCTCCCCAAAATATTCTTCCTCATCTTCCCTGGTCATAACTTCCCCCCTTTCTCTTACTTCTTTTGAGGCTCCTGGTTGCAGCTCCCCACCTCTGAGCAGCAGAAGTTGCCACTTGAATGCCTTGATTTTACTTTCCTTGGAATAAGGGAAGTTCAACAGTTAAGACAAATCTTAAGATTAAAGCTCCATCTCTTGTTTGTAGATTTCTCTCAAATGTCCATTGATAAAACCACCCTCCTTTACACCCTTCCCCCAAAAGTATTTATTTACACATAGGCAGAAAAAAAAAAGTTCTGGACTGTCCTTTTAACTTAAAAGAAAAAAAAAAAAAAAAGAGAATTAAAAAAAAAAGAAAAGAAGGGAAAGGCACTATGGAAAAAAGTACAGAATGTGCTCAACCGTACACCTTTAAGAAAAGAACACAACAAGAAAAGCTGTCAGCACAGCATGAACAGACCTCAGTTGTATGTTGGAGTTTCTCAAAGCAGCTCTGTGACTCCAAAGAAAAAGAACAAAAAAGCCACACAACTCTTCTCCCTTCCCCTGCTTGGAAGCTGCTGAGCTTCAGAAGAAAGTGCCAAAGGAGAAGAGACAATAAAACTTAAGATTAACACCTCATCTTTCCCAGGCAAGAAGAGCTGAATGTTGAAGGCAAAAGCAGAGACTGATGATTTTTGTTTTGTTTTAAAGGCAGGACTGTGGATTTGGTTCTTCTCTCATGTCCCTTCATGTCAAATGAAGACCGTTTGTAGAGAGAGAAAATACCAGCAGAGTTTCTCCCTTTTCCTTTAACTGCATGGCTAGGACTTTATATGGCATTAAAACTTCATGCACTGATGGACAGAGGGAGGGGGGGAAACAAGAAGAGTGGATGAAAGGGGGTAACCCAGGAGCAGCTGAGGAAATTTGTTATTTTCATTGTTTTCTCTCTCTTTTTTTTTTGTTTTTCTCTTTTTAAAGATAACTTTTGGTGTGTAAGTTGAACTCTTCCCCCCCCAGCCCCTGAAGTTCCGTACTGAGTGAAGGAGGATCACCTCACGGTGAAAGGTGACTCAGGTTTTATCGCCGTGTGATTTTAGGTCACTGGCTGCAGTTAGGCTCTGTATGTGTATTTACTGGTTCTCTTGTTTCTTTAAATAATCTCTAATATTTATCTCTAGATGTTCCTGTTCACTGGGGTCACGTAGTTGCGTGGAAACATGCCCGTCTGTCCGTGGCAGGCTCCCTTCCACCAGTTGGGGTCAGAATTGTCAAGGACTTGGATAAAGTCTCCACGACGGAAGCCCAGCTCTCCTTCCTCCTGGGGATCAAAATCAAACAGGGCCTGAACGTATGTCGGTTGCTGGAAGGGGAAAGAGAAAGAGACACAAAGTGAGAATCATCCACAGTGCTGGAGAAACCTGCTCCTTCAGGCAGGAGCTTAACTTACACCAGGGTTTAACAATGAACATTTGGGCTGTTCCATTTCCCTGCAAGACAGCTTCCAACATCTGTAACAAGATGCTAAAATAGGAAAGCACAGTCTATAGAAGACCTTAGAAAAAGTCAAGCTCCTGTGAAACAGCAGAAAGAAAGACAGCTGATGACTCAGATGTTTTCCAGTCTTCCTGACCTCCTGTAAATCTGTACGTACTGCAGTACAATAGTCTTCTAGTCATCCTGCGTTCACCAACTGACAGTGTGAGTATTACTGATCTCCCTAACACTGATAAACAAAGCTCACCCTAAAAACTGGATGTTAGCATTTAGATTTTCCTTGAAACTCTCCAATAGCGATAAATCTGGTCAGCAAAGACTTCAATTCCAGTGGAAAAGCTAATGGTTCATTTAAAACGCATGTGATTCCTTAAAATTGTGAGGTTAGGAAGGTGGTGTTTTCAGCCAGCTGTCTGCTCATCCTCTGTTTATCACTGACCCAGCTGTGCAGAGCCAGATGTTAATTCAGACAAATTGTGGCAAAGGGGGTGCGTGGTACCCAGTGGGCAGCATGAATTCCACCCCCCTTGTCCTCAAGCTGGAACTGGAATGCTGCTGCACGTGGAAGCAAAAGGATTTATTCAGAATTGACACATGCAACGTAATGTTCCGATTGCCCTGGGAAATGGAACAAAACAAAGAGCTAGATATCCACAAGCTGCTCTGCTGGCACTTCGCAGTAGGTTTTGGTTTCTCTTAACATTGGCTAGATCCAAACCAGAAGCCTGGAGATGTTTCACATGCTGTAAACACCTCCTGAGGAAAGACCAGTACCAAAGCTTCACTGGCTATGGAGGGGTAGAGTTCTGCCTATGAACCAGTATAAATAGAACTCTCCTTTCTTCCTATGTCCTAAACCAGGAGTAAACCCATTTTTAATCCACAGGAATAAGTTCATCTTTCTGCAACAGTGTCCATAAACATTCAGACAAGCTAAATGTTCAAGCAGCAGCAACGACGCTTTGCCTGACCTGGAGACTAGGGAGTCCCAGGTAGGCTTTGCACAAAAATCCAGCTTATTTGCCAGTATAATTCTGGCTGTAGGATCTAAAGATAAACTTCCACAGACATAAAAACATCAGTCAGCTTCATTCCATCCCTATTCACTTACTCTAAGCTACAATCCCACTTCAGACTGTGGTTGCAATAGCCTAAATGTGTGCTCTCTGAGGATGCTTCTCTTACCTGTGGCACCTGCTCAATGTCCCGGAGAAATATTTGCTGGTTCCTGGAGACAGATGTGGATCTGTGATAATCTACCAGCTCGTTCAAAGAATTGAACTTCACCACCCAGAGGAAATACTTGCCAGCTCCATCTCTGAGCACCTTGAAGTGCTGCACATCATTTCCAAACCTGAAGAACACATAAAAAACACGTTATTAGTCACCAAGTATCAGGATGTCACAGTTAGGGTGTGTGTGATAATGTAATACATAAGCTCCAGCCCCATGGTAGGTAAATTCCTGGGAAAACACTGCCACAGGGAGGGTGGGATTGTCTCCTTTGGTGGCTGGTCTGGACTTATGCAAAAGACTGTCTTGCAAAACATAAGGATCCCACAAAACCACCCCAAACCCCTCGTGCTTGAAGGGTGATGCTGCACACGCAACGCAGCAACTTCAATTCAATGTTAACAATTCTTTCTGACAAACGATGCCATTCAGTTGAAGCTGCTTTTCCAACAATTTTATTCTGAACACAGAGGAACTCTGGAGAGATCCACTGGGATTTTCCAGACGAATGGCACATTGGTATTTTTACTTCAGTCTAAACCACTGCAAACAGACGGCAACTGTTCCCCACTTGGCGCGCACAGCTCCTGTATGCTGACTGACACAGTAGACACCATCCTGGCTATAAACCTACATGAAGCATCTCTGCTCTCCCTTCCTCAGCCTAAGAGCTTCTCACCATTTAAATCCTGCAGATCACTGTTTAGGAAAAAGACTTTTCTAAATCAAACAACAGGGGAGGGGAAAAAAAATCACCTGAGAAATTACCACCAGATGGCAACACTAAGCTAAAGGCAGCAGAGCCATGCTAGACTTCTGTTTCTCAAAGGAAGGCACCTTCTGGAGTGAGGCTGCCATTCCTATCTAGTAATTCCAGCTCAGATGATTGTACTCAAGACAGAAATATAAACTGGAGGCTAAAAATGTAGTGAAAGATGACCAGAAAAAGAAGTAGTCCTGTTGAGACAGATCACTGATAGCCACAGACACCAGCAGATTAGGAATTGTGCATAAATAACTAAAAATTATTGATAGGATTCTAAAGAAAATTCTGTTGTTCAGATTCTGAAGCAAAGGGGAAGATTACAGGAAAAAAATAAAGGCAAAAATCAATTGCTGAGGACAGAACCCTCCCACCCCCAACCCACACTGAATTAAGTCATGTACCTTTTTAATACCCCTATTTTACAGTGACAGGTAGGGTGGTGTTCTATGGGCCATGGCTAACTAGCAGCAATTCGTGC